ATGACCACAGGGAAGAGCTAGCCACCGAAGACCTGCAACACCAACTAGAACAGCAACAGATTGCAGGTGACGAAATTGCTTCAGAGGAGGAGGAAGAGAGAGGGGAGAATGTGCCTTCTTCAGTGATTAACCCTTTGAGTATTTTGGTCATATATATACATCTTACGAACCAATGTGTTTGACATTTATATACTAAAAAATTCTAGCGACTTCAAATCAAGCAGGAGAGAGCTGGTAGGCGCACATGTGAGAGAATGGGTATGTGTGGTCAGTGTGTGCAGTATAAAAAAAATCCTTCAGCATGCAGTGCATGATGAGAAAAAAAAAAAACTCCGACCATGTTTTTGGATTAAAACACCGACATTGAGGTGTATTTTCATATAGTATTTATGGTTGTATTCTGTTTTCTTGGTCTCATTTGATAGACTGAAAACATATTATAGGAATGGAAGTGATTCTGATTGGTTTTACTATGAAAAGGATCTTGAAATGGAGCTCAAAGTGGCAGAAATGTTCGATTTTTGCTGATGTTCAAGAGTAAACAAATGATGTCATTGTCTAATAAATGTCCAACTAGCCATTCTAATATGCAGTCACGAATGGGTTGACATTATTTATACAATTATTACAATATTGCAGTAGTCTGCATAACAGTAAATCTTCTATTTTTTGTGTGAATAAAAATTCAAAATAGAAAGCAAGAGGATTATAACAGGGGCCTGGAGACATGACTGATGAACAGAGAAAATGTTATTTTAGTGTCAGGAATGTCTGCATTGTTCATTCTGCACCCTATTTTGAAATTGACATATTTTTTAATTTGCATGAAATTGGCCTTTATTGCCAATTTCTGACCACTTTATTGGGTAGTTGAAATCGGTAAATGGGCGGTTTCTGTACTCAGTTGATAGAATAAATGGAGTTCTAAAGAAATAGCTATGAGTTTGGTGGACTGGGACAATGGAATTGACTGAAAATAGGGTTTAAAGTGGGTGAAATCGCCAATGTGTAAATGTCGCCAAGGTCACTAGCTTCGCGAGAGCATAATTCCGTAAGTTTTCCATTGAATTTCATACTTTTGGTGTCATTACCATTGGGAAAAGATTGTCTTTCATTTCATAAGAATTTTTTTTTTTTTTTTTTTCAAATATTTTGTGACACCAGGAGACACCTCAGGATTTGGGGTTGCGATAGTCAAAGGGTTAAGGACATGTGTAAAGTGGAGTGAGTTGCAAAGTTTTGTGGAGAAATGTCACCCAAACAATGCTGTTGCAAGGCATGCCTGCACATGTTCAGTGACAATGCAGATCTTAAAGAGATACCAGAAACAGACCTCTCTGGGTAGATTTTTTGTGCAACAGGGGTCCAGTGCCTGTAAAAGACAAAGAAGGGAAGTAACCCCAGATTGGGACTTAATACCTGAAGTCCTTATGGAGGGGGATTCCTCTTCCAACCAATAACCTCTCCTCCTCCCTCTCCACTCCTAGCGTCTTCCATACGTGAACAAGTCTTCAATAAAGGAAAAAGTGATATTAAATGTTCATTTATCCATTTCATTGGTCCCTTATATTTATTTCTCACTGTTTTCTGTATGTAAAACTATAGTTATTCTCTATAAAATGTATTTTTTGTTAATACTTTTGGGTGTCTGGAATGGATTAATTGGATTTATATTATTTCTTAAGGGAAATATTGCTTCAGTTTTTGTCGAATTCGGTTTTCGTCAGACTTTCTGGAACGAATTAATGGTGAAAACTTGGGCTCCACTGTATTTTGACTCCTTCTTCACGGCCTGAAACATTAGCCTTAACCTTGAGCTGTGTTTGAGGTGATGGTGGTTGCCTAGCTCCTGGGCCCTTTTAGGGTGTTTAGCCAAATCTCATGAGGCTCTTGATGTTGAACTTATGCTTCTGGATCTCTTAACCCTTTCACTGTTGCAACCTGTGAAGCTAAACCTTTCACTGTTGCGACCCGTGAAGCTAAAAGTATTTTTAATGTCATGATTTAAAAAGAAAAATTTACTAGGAATGAAACCAAGAAAATAAAGATCCCATTAGCACTTAGAGATGTGAAGACAGCTTCTAGGACAAGTGTTGACATTTCTTGAACATCTGTTAATGACCTGTCTCTAAATTCTTTGATTTTTCTGCTTTCATGTGCATAATGATGGCAAAGTTTACCTTGTTAGTTAGATTTATATCTAGTGATTATTGAAACTGCCAGAGGCACCAGTAGCCTAGCCATAGCCTGGCAAGATTGTAGTAACATCCAAGCATCTGCTGATTTTTAAGTTCCATAGTGGCTCCTCTTGCATGACAGAATAGACAGCTAGATTGACTGGTGTGGTGTCAGTCTCACTCTCAGGTTAGTGAAATTCATTTAAAGCACTTTCTATATTATTGTCCTCAGACTACCAGACAGTTCAAAGTTATAATGGAGACTTCCTCTTTGAGAGCATACATCCTTGCCAGCTTGGCTAATGTGCAAGGACATCCACAGCTGGTGAACTCTGATTCTGTTCTTTATAATATCATACTTGCACCTGGTTTTTGATACAAACATATTTCAGCCATACCTCATGGGGCTTACAGCATTTATGGATGCTAGAGATCACTTAAAACATAGTATCAAGTTTAGACATGGGGGCACGTTGAAATGAAAGGGGTATATTGAATACCATATCTTCCTGCATCCTAATTTTGGCAGACATATTTTGGGAAAAGTGTGAAATGCAGTACAGTGGAACCCTGGTTTTTGTCCAGTCCGGTTATCGTAGGATTCAGTTTTCGACCACTTTTTCAGTGAAATTTTCCGTTTTCATACATCTGCTCGGAAATCATCTGTACCAGACCCATCCGCCTACCAGTGAGACACGGCTGCTTATAGTTTGTGACTCAGTCTGCCTTTGTTACTTGTAGAGGGTGGTAGTGGTTGTGATGGTGGTGAAGGGTGGTAGTGATGGTGGTAAAGGGTGGTGGTGGTTGTGATGGTGGTAGAGGGTGGTAGTGATTGTGGTAGAGGGTGGTGGAGGGTAGTAGTGATTGTGGTAGAGGGTAGTAGGGATTGTGGTAGAGGGTGGTAGTGATGGTGGTAGAGATGTGCAAGAAAGGTATACAATACTGACAAGATAAAAGTTAAGACACATGTACAACATCTGGTTATCTTTATTGTAGACATTTCATCATCCAGTGGCTTTATCAGTACAGACTCTAGGACATAATTAGAAGACAGTAGATGAGGTAATCAGTCCCTCAACCTAGGAGTTGGTGTGAAGAGCACCGTGGTTGTGGAGATTCTGGAGCAAAGGCAAGGAGACTGGCGTTTATATAGGCGTCAGTGGATAGGGACGTGTAGCAGACGAGGGCATAGTCACTGATACCTCATCTTTTGCATATAGTTCTACTGTCTTCCAATTATGTCCTAGAATCTGTACTGATAAAGCCACTGGATGGCAAAACATCTACAATAAAGATAACCAGATGTTGAACATGTGTCTTAACTTTTATCTTGTCAGTATTGTATATCTTTCTTGCACAACTTGTCAGACACTGCAACATCATGGAATCTTGATTCAGAAGATATCTACAAGACCTTCTTCACGGCTGCTACAACTAACCCATCCCTTTGGGTAGGACCTACTTCCACTGGGAAATCCTGCCTACCAGTGACTATGCCCTCGTCTGCTACACGTCCCTATCCACTGAAGCCTATATAAATGCCAGTCTCCTTGCCTTTGCTTCAGAATCTCCACAACCACGGTGCTTCCCACACCAACTCCAAGGCTGAGGGACTGATTACCTCAGTTGGACCAAACATCATCATAAGTTTAAGTCTCCCATTTGTGGATTATATGTGTAGAGTACTGGTATGTACATTGTAAGGCAGAATGCTCTGTGAATAAAGACAAAGCTTTGATTATGATCTGATAATGTTTTTTGAGGAAAGATGAGGGATAGTGATTTGCTAAGAGGTAAGTTCCCTGTGGTGCAGGAAAGTGTGCCTGTTGCTTTACCTCATATACACTGTGCATCATTTCATTCAGTGGTCATTCCTTGATTTGGAGGAGTGTTCACCAGTGCTGAGGAAAGTTTAGAGGGCTTCAGTGCAAGGGTTTGAATAGGTTTACCTGAGCATATTAATACCATTGAAGGCATTTCTTTCAGTAAGTCCATCTCTTATTCAAGTTTAGTATTTTGGTGGTACTGTGCATGGATATTATAGGATCCCCATTGATTCTTGAGGCCATTTTTGAATACCACCTGGTGCTTAACACTTACACTCACTCACCCATTTAACCATAAACAGAAATATCAATCTCAATCTCAAAATAATGAATCTTAACTAGTCATAAGTTGGCCTGTGATACTCCAATACTGAAACTATGTATAGTGCCAAAACAAAAGCATTCACATTGCTAAACTACTACTAATAATAAAAAACTACTGTGTAGTTTATTATTATTATTATTATTATTAGTAGTAGTAGTAAGTATTGCAGTATTACACCTACCATCCGACTTCATATTCATATATTTTATTTGAGCATGATACATAGTTGTATAAGGGATTAAAGTAGTTGGGTGAACATGCCAAAAGCCCCTTGTATGCAAAACATTATGGGCAGGCTTAAAATTAACAAGCAATGAAAGGTTCAGTGGTAGAAATTACAGTACTTACAACCAAGCTTGGTTCTGACCAACCGGTCGTAAGTCAAAATGGATGTAAGTCAAACCTTACTACTGAAAATCAACATCACATTTTTGTAATGATTTTTTATTGTTTTATTTTGGTATTTCATTTTTTACTTTATTTTTTATTCTGTTAGTACTGTATTTTATACTGTTAGGTTTAGGATAAACACTGCATACAACACAAATTAGGCATGCAAAACATGGTCGTAAGTCGGATGGTAGGTGTATTTACAAAAAGTACCAAACACTTATGGGCCATTCAACACTGTCACTGTACATCACACATCCATTTTAAGTTTTTTTTTTTCAGTTCAACAATAGAGATGCGTGGAGAAAAACAGAAGGAAATATGCGATGACAACTGCAACATAGAGGAGGTTGAGATGAACCCCTGGGACTCTGATGGGTATTCTCCGCACTGCCTTGTATATGATGATACTCACAGTGATTCATTTAATTTGTCAAGTAAAGGTTCTTCAGATCATTTACAATCACATGCTTCAGACACTCCCACCGTGAAAGCGAGAGTTGTGGACACTGAGAGAAATGGTAGAGAGCCTAATGGTTCAGTCAGCATTCAGAATAACGAAATACATGCTTGGCCCCAGGTAACAGAAGATGCAGGCAATTCACACTTTTCTTCAGTAGCATTTGTCTCTTCATTATCATCTGCATCAGCCGAACTTCATAGCCAGTCCTCGAGTAAATTCAACATTGCTACTTTACCCAAAGTGAATTTATATAAGCATGTGCCAGTAATGCAAGTATCACCATACACTCCCAGAGAGCCAGCTGTTAGGAAATATACTTCAGAATTTAAAATGGGAAATATTAAAGCATCTCCTCCTCTTTCCAAAAGTTTTTCAATGACACAAAAACAATTCGAAGAAACTGTAGAGTTAAGTAGTTTGAGGTTATGGGCAGACTCCACCTTAATTCAGAAGCTTCAGTCACTGCGCTAGAGAGCAGAAACATTGACTAGTAATGTCTCACCACTTGAGACACCAGAAACATCGACTAGTAATGTCTCACTGCACAAGAGACAGAAGCATTGACTAGTGATACAGAAGATGCAGGCAATTCACACTTTTCTTCAGTAGCATTTGTCTCTTCATTATCATCTGCATCAGCCGAACTTCATAGCCAGTCCTCGAGTAAATTCAACATTGCTACTTTACCCAAAGTGAATTTATATAAGCATGTGCCAGTAGTGCAAGTATCATCATACAATCCCAGAGAGCCAGCTGTTAGGAAATATACTTCAGAATTTAAAATGGGAAATATTAAAGCATCTCCTCCTCTTTCCAAAAGTTTTTCAATGACACAAAAAACAACTCAAAGAAACTGGAGAGTTAGGTAGTTTGAGGTTATGGTCAGACTCCACCTTAGTTCAGAAGCTTCAGTCACTGCACGAGAGAGCAGAAACATTGACTAGTAATGTCTCACCACATGAGACACCAGAAATATCGACTAGTAGTGTCTCACTGCACAAGAGACCAGAAGCATTGACTAGTGATACAGAAGATGCAAGCAATTCACACTTTTCTTCAGTAGCATTTGTCTCTTCATTATCATCTGCATCAGCCGAACTTCATAGCCAGTCCTCGAGTAAATTCAACATTGCTACTTTACCCAAAGTGAATTTATCTAAGCATGTGCCAGTAGTGCAAGTATCATCATACAATCCCAGAGAGCCAGCTGTTAGGAAATATACTTCAGAATTTAAAATGGGAAATATTAAAGCATCTCTTCCTCTTTCCAAAAGTTTTTCAATGACACAAAAACAACTCAAAGAAACTGGAGAGTTAGGTAGTTTGAGGTTATGGTCAGACTCCACCTTAGTTCAGAAGGTTCAGTCACTGCACGAGAGAGCAGAAACATTGACTAGTACAAAACAAATTCTGGTCACAAAATAGAGCGAAACACCAACGTCAAAGACCTGGGAGTGATCATGTCGGAGGATCTCACCTTCAAGGACCATAACATTGTATCAATCGCATCTGCTAGAAAAATGACAGGATGGATAATGAGAACCTTCAAAACTAGGGAGGCCAAACCCATGATGACACTCTTCAGGTCACTTGTTCTATCTAGGCTGGAATATTGCTGCACACTAACAGCACCTTTCAAGGCAGGTGAAATTGCCGACCTAGAAAATGTACAGAGAACTTTCACGGCGCGCATAACGGAGATAAAACGCCTCAATACTGGGAGTGCTTGAGGTTCCTAAACCTGTATTCCCTGGAACGCAGGAGGGAGAGATACATGATTATATACACCTGGAAAATCCTAGAGGGACTAGTACCGAACTTGCACACGAAAATCACTCACTACGAAAGCAAAAGACTTGGCAGACGATGCCCATCCCCCCAATGAAAAGCAGGGGTGTCACTAGCAACGTTAAGTGACCATACAATAAATGTCAGGAGCCCGAGACTGTTCAACTGCCTCCCAGCACACATAAGGGGGATTACCAACAGACCCCTGGCAGTCTTCAAGCTGGCACTGGACAAGCACCTGAAGTCAGTTCTTGATCAGCCGGGCTGTGGCTCGTACGTTGGTTTGTGTGCAGCCAGCAGTAACAGCCTGGTTGATCAGGCTCTGATCCACCAGGAGGCCTGGTCACAGACCGGGCCGCGGGGGCGTTGACCCCCGGAACTCTCTCCAGGTAAACTCCAGGTCTCCAGTAATGTCTCACTGCACAAGAGACCAGAAGCATTGACTAGTGATGTCTTACCACATGACAGTCTAGAAATGTTGGCTGCTAATGTCTTGGCAAAAGGATTTGCAAAAGAAAATAAGTGAATTTAAAGTGATACAAAGTTAGCTCAATGTGCATTGGACATTGATAATATTTTGTGTGGTAAAGGAGTGTCTCCCAACTTGTGGACAAGTTTTGTTTTAACTTATAAATTGTTTACATGGAAAATAGTATTAGTGGCTGTAAAAGTTTAATTGATGCCTTATTGATACCCCACCAAATGACTACCTCACTGGCAACTACCCGAACACACTGTTCCTAGCTCCGACTAACCCATACGAAGTCTCCCTTATTATCAACACACTAAAAAACAAGGCAGGAGATTTAAATACCTTACCACCCTTTATATACAAAAAAGTGTCACAAGTGCTATCACCAATCATTGCAACACATTTTAACAAATCCATTGAATCCTCCACCTTCCCTACAGCTCTCAAAATAGCAAGGGTCACCCCGATCCATAAAGGAGGAGACCAAACAGAGTTGAATAACTATAGGCCAATATCCAATTTACACCCTCTCTCAAAAATCTTCGAAAAATTAATTCATAAACGTATCTACTCCTACCTCATCTCCCAAAACATTCTCAGCCCCTGCCAATTTGGATTCAGGCCTAATAAAAATACTAATGATGCTATTATACACATGCTAGAACATATATACACTGCAATAGAGAAAAAGGAAGTCCCACTGGGGATCTTCATTGACTTACGTAAAGCTTTTGATACAGTTGACCATGACTTGCTCCACGTAAAATTGTCACACAATGGTATTAGAGGGCACTCCCTCAACTACCTCAAGTCATACCTCAGCAACAGAAGCCAATATGTGTATGCAAATGGGGCAAGCTCTTCCGCTCAACCAATTACAGTTGGTGTCCCACAGGGAAGTGTCCTTGGCCCTCTTCTCTTTCTCCTATACATAAATGACCTACCAAATGCTTCGCAATTACTCAAACCCACACTTTTTGCAGATGACACTACATACGTCTTCTCTCACCCGAGCCCAGTCACGCTAGCCAATACTGTAAACACCGAATTACAGAAAATATCTACCTGGATGAGGACTAACAAACTTACACTAAACATTGACAAAACCTACTTCATTCAGTTTGGTAACAGCTACAGATGTACCTCTTAACATAACGATAAACAGATCACCTATCACAAAGCTAACAGAGGGAAAATTCTTAGGAATCCACCTTGATTTAGACTCAAATTTCATACACATATACAACAAATTTCTAAGAAAATTTCCAAGACTGTAGGCATACTATCGAAGATACGGTACTATGTTCCACAGTCAGCCCTCCTGGCCCTTTATCACTCTCTTATTTACCCCTATCTCACCTATGGAATTTGTGCATGGGGCTCAACAACAATTAACCATCTCAGACCACTAATTACCCAACAAAAGACTGCAGTTAGAATGATAACAAATTCTCACTACAGGCAGCACACTCCACCAATATTCAATACACTAAACCTACTCACCATACAAAACATCCATACTTATTACTGCACCTATTACATACATAGAACACTTAACTCTGATATTAACCCTCCCCTCAAACATCTCCTTGCCAACCTCAACAGAACACATGACCATAACACAAGGCACAGATCACTCTTTGATGTTCCTTGTGTCCATCTGACGCTATGCAAAAACTCAATGCACATAAAAGGCCCTAAAATCTGGAATTCATTACCTGTAAATATAAAAGAAACACTACCTGTTTATAAATTCAAGTCTCTTCTCAAAGATCACTTACTCAAAACCAAATAAATACTGAATAACTGAACCTTATAAATTGTATATCCTATATGTTACTCACAATTATATCACACAAATGTTAAACCTAGGACCCAATCTAACTTTGTTATTTTTTTAAGTACACTACCTAACAGAATACTCCATTCGACTGAATGTACAGCAATGCATGCAACCATATGACCTGTCTTTGTAATACTCATTTGTGCTTTATAGTTATCTGTTTACAATAATGTTTTATCACTGATTTCATCATTGCTTAATTAATCTTAAGTTAATTTTAAGCCAGCCCATAATGCTATGCATATAAGTGGCTTTGGAATGCTGCTCTTACCTGTATTTTTTGTACCTCTGTATGTATGCTTAAATTACTAAATAAATAAATAAATAAATTTGTAAGTGCTGAAGTGTGTAACTTGTGAAGTGAGAGTGAGTAAGTTAGGGAGGGAAGAGAATGCCTATTGTACTCCTCCAAGACAGACTCATAGTTTATTATGCCGGGGGCCAAAAATTTGTAATGATTACTAGAGTTTGGGGCAAAACATCATTAAATTTGGACTAATTAATGTTTTAATAACATGCTCAAGCTTGGTAATTTATATGTAAGATACATAGGGTTCAGACTTGTGCTTGAACATTGCCTTAAAAGTTGAAGGAAAAAAACAAATAAAAACAAAAAAGACTGTTGTTTACTCCTATGGACAAAGTATTTGCTAAAGTTTTGGGGTTAAGTATGTTTTTTATACTTTGCTAAGTTGTTAAAAATAATATTTTTTAATCATATTCGTAAAAAAAGGATTTCTGTTAAAATTTTTTTATGAGTTATTTAGTATATGGCTTTTTTATGATTTTTGAGAAAAGTTTATTTTGAAAAGGATATTTTCACATTGTGGGGGAATGAGTCCATCATTGTGTTTACAGAATATTTGTAACATTGCACTTATCCAACAGTTTTGCAAATAAGACAATAAAATTTTGTTTGTTTTTCCATCAATCCTATTTATTTTAAACCTTTGCTTGAAAGCAAATTTGGGGAAATCTGGCAATGTGTCAAAACACAGAGATAAAAAAATTTTTGTTTAACCCCCCGTGTTTGTTAGCTGGAGCTCAGCAATGAGAGCGGTACTCTCCCCCGCGGGCACACGACCACTGCACAGATTTAGGAAATCTATGCATTTAACCCTATAAAAAAAAATGTATTCTTTTGATGAAAAAAAAAGTTAAAAAAATTTATGCATAGGGGCCATTATTCGAGGTTGGCGGCTCCTTTGTTCGACTTAAAAAAAAAAAAAAAAAAAAAAAAATGCCCGTATGCAAATGTGTGTTTTATGAATATGTATTTATTATGTGTGTTTCTGTTAATAATTGATATGAAGAGCTGCAAGAGGTTTTACTTTTTCCACAATGTATTAGTGCTAACTAAATCTCTCCTTTCTGTCTGTCTGAACTTGCCTAAACGTGGTTGCAACGTTCGAGTCATATTTCCTGACCACTGTGTGTGTACTCACCTATTTGTACTCACCTATTTGTGGTTGCAGGGGTCGAGTCTTAGCTCCTGGCCCCGCCTCTTCACCGGTTGCTACTGGGCCCTCTCTCTCCCCGCTCCATGAGCTTTATCAAACCTCATCTTAAAACTGTGTATGGTTCCTGCCTCCACTATGCCACTTTCTAGGCTATTACACTGCCTTACAACTCTATGACTGAAGAAATACTTCCTAATATCTCTCTGACTCATTTGTGTCTTCAGCTTCCAATTGTGGCCTCTTGTTTCTGTGTCCCCTCCCTGGAACATCCTGTCTTTGTCCACCTTGTCTATTCCATGCAGTTATGTCGTTATCATGTCTCCCCTGACCCTCCTGTCCTCCAGTGTCGTCAGGCCAATTTCCCTTAATCTTTCTTCATAGGACATTCCCCTTAGCTCTGGAACTAACCTTGTCGCAAACCTTTGTACTTTCTCTAGTTTCTTGATTTGCTTTATCAAGTGCGGGTTCCAAACAGGTGCTGCATACTCCAGTATGGGCCTGACATACATGGTGTACAGTGTCTTGAACGATTCCTTACTAAGGTATCGGAATGCTGTTCTCAGGTTTGCCAGACGCCCATATGCTGCAGCAGTTATCTGATTGATGTGTGCTTCTGGAGACATGCTCGGTGTTATACTCACCCCAAGATCTTTCTCTTTGAGTGAGGTTTGCAGTCTTTGGCCACCTAGCCTATACTCTGTGGTCTTCTGTGCCCTTCCCCTATCTTCATGACTTTGCATTTGGCAGGATTAAATTCTAGAAGCCATTTGCTGGACCAGGTGTCCAGTCTGTCCAGGTCTCTTTGAAGTCCTGCCTGGTCCTCATCAGATTTAATTCTCCTCATTAACTTCACATCATCTGCAAACAGGGACACTTCTGAGTCTAACCCTTCCATCATGTCGTTCACATATACCAAAAATAGCACTGGTCGTAAGAACGACCCCTGTGGGACCCCGCTCATCACAGGTGCCCACTGTGATGCATTACGTACCATGACTCGTTGTTGCCTCCCTGTCAGGTATTCTCTGATCCATATACTGATGGACATGTACATAATATAACAATTGACCTATGAGACTTATTACCAGGGGTAAGGGTAGATGTTATCAGTAACACGGACTAGTACTCACT